ATGGATGGATGGATGGATGGATAGATGGATGGATGGATAGGTGGGTGGATGGATGGATGGATAGGTGGGTGGATGGATGGATGGATAGGTGAATAGGTAAATAGGTAGGTTAGTAGAAATACAGCAGACAGATACTGAATATGTGGATAAATGGATAAATGGGTGAGTGCATGAGTAGAAAAAAGAATATGAATAAGACAGTGTGCGGATGGATGGATGGATGGATGGATGGATGGATGGATGGATGGACAGATATGGAAATATATTACAGATGTTGTTGTTAAGTGCCATCAACTCAGTTCCAACCCACAGCGAGCCTGTATAGAGTTTCTGAGGAGCGTCTGGTGAGCTTGAACCTCCAACCTCGGGTTCAAACTGACTTTGCAGTCCAGCGCATTAACCCGCTGCACCGCATCAGGCCTCTTACATGACAGATACACAGACACGAAAACCCAAAGATAACAATTCACGAATAAGAAACTTCCAGTCGTCCTTGGAGCTCTGAGCCCAGATCAGCTTGGACAGCGGAGGCCCAAGAACAACGGTGACGCCCGCGCTCACGGGCAGACTTCTCCTCACCTGAGCTTCTTGCCTCTTTCAGACCCAAGAGAAGCGTCAAATGTGGCGACGCAGGACCACAGGAGAGCCCTTACTGAGTGACATGGAACTGGACAAACACACATCACAAGGAAAACAGGGACAAACCTTCTCCTGGGGAAAGAATGAATGCAGATGCCAGAAAGAACACTGTGTACATCAAGTTTTATGTAAAGAACACGGAAAAAAGCATGTTCATGAAGATCCACGAAGAGATACGATTTCCACTCTCAACTTCTGAGCACATGATAAATAGGTTTCAGGGGACCCTAGTGTGGCACCGTGGTTAAGGCGCTGGACCACAAAGTCAGTTGGAACTGCAAGGTTGTTGGTTCAAGCTCACCAGCTGCTCTTCGGAAACCCTACACAGGATCCGCTATGAGTCGGAAGCGACTCAATGGCTCTTAATAACAACAACACTTGTATTTTTCACCGCCCATCTGTCTGTCAACGTGGCATACTGTGGGGGCTGTGTGTTGCTATATTTCCATCAGCAGCAGGGTCAGCCAGACTCTGACAGACTAGCAAGTAAGGCCTGGAAATCAATTTCTCAAAACTCAGTCAGTGAAAACCTCATGGACCACAACAGAAGACTGTCCTACGTAGCGCTTGCAAGTAGATGCCACCAGTATTTCCAAGACCAGCAGGGTCACCCACGCAGGACAAGTTTCAGTGAGGCTTCCAGACAAACAGAGACAAGGAAGAAAAGTCTGGAGAGCTACTTCTCAAAATTCAGCCAATGAAAACTCCGTGGATCCGATGTAGTGCTGGAAGGTAGGCCATCTGTATTTCTAATACCAGCAAGGCACCCATGAGGGAGAGGTTTCAGTCAAGCTTCTATACAGGAAGATCAGGAAGAAAGGCCTGGTGATCACTTCTGAACATCAGCCATAGAAAAGCCCATCGATCATGGCATAACATTGTCTGTTAGCGTGCTGGAAGCTATGTCGTTAGTATGTCAGATCCCAGCCGGTCGTCCATGGTGGAGTGGTTTCAGGGGAGTGTTCATGCTAAGACTAGGCAGAAATAACTAGGGATCTACTTCTAAAATTCAAACTCTCAAGACCCTGAGGCTCACAACTGAACACTGTCTGACAGGGTGCTAGAAGCTATGTGGGCAGTATTTCAAGTCCCCGTGGGGCACCCACGGCAGACCTTCCACACGACGAGAGACTAGGAAAAAAGGGCTGGCAACGTACAACTGAAAATCATCCAAGTGATAAACCCTGTGACTTACTACAGAACATGGTCTGATAGAGTGTTGGAAACTATGCCATCAGTATTTCTGATACCTGCAGTGTCATCCACGAAGACAAGCTTCAGTGGAGCATTCAGACTGAGAGAGACAAGGAAGAAAGGACTGGCAATCTATATCTGAAAATCAGCCAGTGATAAACGCTGTGGCTCACAACAGAACACTGTCTGATAGAGTGCTGGAAGCTATTACCACTGGTATTTCAAATACCAGCAGGGTCACCCATGGGGGAAAAGTTTCAGCAGAGCTCCTACACAGGAA